CCAGTGAAGCCATGTCCTCCACAACTAGGCTGAAGAACAAAAGGACAGCAACTTGTCTGTTCCCCTTCCCCGATTCCCCAATGCTGTTCCTCTCCCCCAGTTCCCCAATAAAATCTTAAAAAAAAAGAATTGTTATTTGTTACATAATGTGAATATGAGTGGTGAGTATATCAGTGCTCATGTGAAGGCAGCTGAAGAATTTTTGGAAGCTCTGTAGATAAGTTGATTGTGGAGGAAATTATTTGCTGGAGCAAATATTCAATATGGGTGAAAACCTCCCTATTCTTGAAATGGATGCCTAAAAGGACTTCATCCGTAAGGAGGCCAAGTCAATGCCAGGTTTCAAGACTTTCAAAGACAGGATAATAGTCTTGCTTGGAGGCAGGCTACAAATTGAAACCCTTTGTGATCTGGAACAGAGAGAACCACAGGGCTATCAAGCATGCCAGTAAGCACACACTGCCAGGGTACTATAAGAGCAATAAGAAGGCATGTGTGACCCACCTTCTCTTGCATGATGCCCTTCTGAATTGCTTTGCCAGTGAAATGGAGAAATACTATTTGGAAAAATAACATAGCTTTTCAGATTTTGTTTATTGTTGATATAATGCCCTCAGACATCTTTTATTGGTGATCTTCATCTTAATATCAAAGTGGTGTTTCTTCCTTCAAACATGACCTCTTTGATCTAACCAATGAATCAAGGAGTTATAGCAGTTTATAAGGCCTACTACCTAAGCAGGACCTTTACTCAGGCTATTGCTGCAACTGAGGAAGACACTGATGCAATTCTGGAAGGATTACATCTGTGACTGCATCAAGAGCCTTGCTTGGGTTTGGGGTGAAGTCAGCAAAGAATTTATGAATGGCATCTGGAAGAAGACACTCATGAGGTTCATCCATGACTTCAAAAGATTTGCCAGTGATGAGAAGGTTGCAAAAATTAAAGAGGCTGTGGATGAGATGGCAAACAACTTTAACCTGGGTATGAATAAGGATAAAATTGAGGAGCTCCTAGAGCTGGTTCCTGAGGAACAAATGAAGAGTTGTTGGAACTGGAACAGGAATGCATAACTGAAGAAGAGGCAAGAGAAAAGGAAACTACAGGAGAAAAAAAGAATACGAAACTCCAAGAAAATTCACAGTGAAGGGTTTAGTAGAAGCTGTTGCAGACCTCAACAAGCTCCTTAAAAAGTTTGAAGACATGGATCCCAAACACTGAAAGGCTTCCATTAATAGAGAATATTCATGGTGCATTATCTGCTTACAAACAAATCTATGATGAAAAAGAGAAACAAACCAAGCAAACCACCATAGACGTATTTCTGAAAAGAGTGACACCTCCTCAAGAAAAGCCTCAAGCAGGTCCTACAGGAGGCTTTCCAGAAGAAGGCCTTGTTCTTACAGCTGGTGACAGCTCCATGCATGCTATTGCCCCTAAAGACCTTCCAGTGGGACAAGATGTAGAGATGGAAGGCAGTGATATTGATGATCTCGACTCAGTGTAGACCTAGGATAACGTGTGCATGTCTTAGTTTTTAACAAAAAAGGTTTAAAAAATAAAAAAATAAAATACATTTTTTAAAAAATAGAAAAGGCTTATAAAGGCTATAAAGAAAGAAAATGTTTGTGTATAGCTAGCTATACAATGTGTTTGTGTTTTAAGCTAAGCAGTATTACAAATGAATCAAAAAGTACACAAAATTCAGAAAGCCTACAAAGTAAAAAATATACAAAAAGCTAACTCTAATTTATTATTGAAGACAGAAAAATATTTTAAAATAAATTTAGTGTAGCCTAAGTGTACAGTGTTTATAAAGTCTAAGTATTGTACAGTAATGTCCTTGGCCTTCACATTCACTCACCACTCAATCACTGACTCACCCAGAGCCACTTCCTGTCCTGTAAATTCCATTCATCGTAAGTGCCCTATACAAGTGTACCATTTTTATATTTTATGCTATATTTTTACTGTATCTTTTCAATGTTTAGATACACAAGTATTTACCATTGTGTGATAATGATATCCAGTATTCAGTACAGTAACACGCTGTACAGGAGCAATAGACTATACCATATAGCCTAGGTGTGTAGGAGGCTATACCATCTAGGTTTGTGTAAGTGCACTCTATGATGTTTGCACGATGACAAAATCACCTAACAACACATTTCTCACAGTGAAGGGTTTAGCAGAAGTATCCCCATTGTTAAGTGACTAATGACTGTATGTATAAATATTTACTTTTAGAAGAAATGCTATAAAATTAACATGTGAGTATAACTTTATTTTTAGGTGCTCCAATATCACCTCATGGATTATGGCCTGAACAAGAGCTACAATTGTGGAACGAGGTAAAGAATTATCTGTATACAAATTATTGGACACTTTGCCCTTCTTTGAAGGTATCATGGTGAAATGAAATAATGTAATTGAACTTTTGAACGACTATGATTTTACTAGCATCCTGATATAACATTCAGAATTATAATTTTTAATAAATGAAAGAAGGAAAGATGAAAAGAAACAAAAAATACAGTAAATGGTAAAGTAAGATGGCAGAAATAAGTCCTCATAATAGAGTAATTACAATAAATGTAAATGTGCTAATATACAGCACTTAATAGACAGAGATACTCAAATTGGATTTTTT